CAATGTATTAACATAATTTAAAAATAACACAACAGCTTAATGCTACTGATAACTAACAAACTGAGTAATTTCCTTTGTTTAGTGACCTGGAGATCTGAATTCAGGTTGATCATTTGCTGCTTGGTAACGAAATATATACATATATATATATATATATATCTAATCTTCGTATATAATCATCGACTTACATCGCATTGGTGAATAACGGAATTAAATAAGTCAAATACAAGAATGTAGTTTGAATATGAATACTTTGTACAATCATTGGGTGGAAGGAGTAGCGAAATTAAGTGACGTGTAATCGAGAAGGTGAGTGAGCCAACTCAATTTAACCAAGCGTGAATCGATATTTATAGTCCGACAAAAAGAAGTTACAGACATGAGATAAGTAAGATAAGAAATGCACATTTATGCGCTTACATAGAAACAGTCAAGGTTAATAAGTGAATAATCAACAGGGTAGAAATGTGGTTTAAGAAGAATGAATAGATTGATTTGTCCATAACACTAACCCCTACACTTTCATGTTTTTAACACCTATAATTAACATGATATACATGAACTTTCAGTTTGTTTTCTTCAGTCTAAAATATCTTTATATGTTCCATTTGACAGAATGAATAATTACACAATAAAGGGAGCTACTTCATATCAGGATTAATATGGTCAGCATCCATATTCTTAGCAAATCCATAATTGAAATTTAGCTTGGTAGATAGTCTGTTGTATTTGAGTTGTTTATCTGAACAAAAGGCACTACATTATCAATAACAATCAAGTACAAACTTCTTGATTAGCAGGTAACTGTAGAAAATATACAAAAGAGAGTGGTGAAGTAATGAAGCTTATCAAGCAAACCAACGTTAAACAGAATATCACATATCATACACCTCAGTAGAACAAGTAAACTGATAGAAATGTAACTTTCAAAACAAGGGAAAAGCCTCACAGTACACCATGGAATTACTAAGAATTCCTTACATATAAATCTGTCTTCGACATTTTATTACAATCAGAGTTCAACGGACTTTTAAATGATATGTTCCACAAAACAATTTATTATTTCTATCAATCTCATATACCCTTCAAACTGTATATAACCTTTCCTCTTCTTCTCACGGTTGTTCTAAAGCAATCTGTCAATACGTACAAAACTATATAATGACAATAATAATATATCTATCCTTTGTATTCGGCATCATTGAAGCTGACTACTTGACCGTCTGGATTATTCTTTATCTCAAATCTGAAAAGAAACAATTAATCTTCATGAATACGTTGATAAACATCATCGTCCAGTAAGTTATTCATCAATTACTCTTATTTTCTAATAAGCATTGTTCATACTACTCACAACAAATACAAAGCATATATGCATATGGCTTGTAAATTTCTACTTGTCTAGATTAATTCACCCACTTTACACATTGTCATAATGATCAACAGAGAGATTAAATGATTTTTTCATACTCAGCTACATTGTGATTGACAATTTTATTTATTTCAAAGCAATCACTGATTCATATTTCAAATAACACGTAGAGCATCAATTTCTTTAAATGTTTAAGTATATTACGTTTGATAATTCCAACATCAAAGTCAGAATTTTCAATACCGACGTCAACACACTTCTACTATATGAGGCGGAATCTTGGAGAACTACCACAACCATCATCCAGAAGAGACAAGTGTTTATTAACAGTTGTCTAGTCAAAATAATTCGGATCCGTTGGCCAGACATTATCAACAACAACCTACTGTAGGAGAGAACAAACCACATTTCAGCAGAAAAAGAAATCAGGAAGAAGAGCTGGAAGTGAATAGAACACAAATGGAAGAAAGCACCGAACTGCACCACAAAGCAACCCCTCACATGGAATCGTGAAGGCCAAAGGATGAGAGGTAGATCAAAGAACACATTACGCCAATTGATGGATATAGACATAAGAAGAATGAACAGCAATTGAAAAGAACTAGAAAGGAAGGCGCAGGACAGAGTGGGTTGAAGAATGGTGTTCGGTGGCCCATTCTTTATTAGGAATAACAGGCGTAAGTAAGTAAGTAAGTAAGTAAGTAAGTAAGTAAGTAAGTAAGTAAGTAAGTAAGTAAGTAAGTAAGTAAGTAAGTAAGTAAGTAAGTAAGTAAGTAAGTAAGTAAGTAAGTAAGTAAGTAAGTAAGTAAGTAAGTAAGTAAGTAAGTAAGTAAGTAAGTAAGTAAGTAAGTAAGTAAGTAAGTAAGTAAGTAAGTAAGTAAGTAAGTAAGTAAGTAAGTAAGTAAGTAAGTAAGTACGTAAGTAAGTAAGTAAGTAAGTAAGTAAGTAAGTAAGTAAGTAAGTAAGTAAGTAAGTAAGTAAGTAAGTAAGTAAGTAAGTAAGTAAGTAAGTAAGTAAGTAAGTAAGTAAGTAAGTAAGTAAGTAAGTAAGTAAGTAAGTAAGTAAGTAAGTAAGTAAGTAAGTAAGTAAGTAAGTAAGTAAGTAAGTAAGTAAGTAAGTAAGTAAGTAAGTAAGTAAGTAAGTAAGAAGTAAGTAAGTAAGTAAGTAAGTAAGTAAGTAAGTAAGTAAGTAAGTAAGTAAGTAAGTAAGTAAGTAAGTAAGTAAGTAAGTAAGTAAGTAAGTAAGTAAGTAAGTAAGTAAGTAAGTAAGTAAGTAAGTAAGTAAGTAAGTAAGTAAGTAAGTAAGTAAGTAAGTAAGTAAGTAAGTAAGTAAGTAAGTAAGTAAGTAAGTAAGTAAGTAAGTAAGTAAGTAAGTAAGTAAGTAAGTAAGTAAGTAAGTAAGTAAGTAAGTAAGTAAGTAAGTAAGTAAGTAAGTAAGTAAGTAAGTAAGTAAGTAAGTAAGTAAGTAAGTAAGTAAGTAAGTAAGTAAGTAAGTAAGTAAGTAAGTAAGTAAGTAAGTAAGTAAGTAAGTAAGTAAGTAAGTAAGTAAGTAAGTAAGTAAGTAAGTAAGTAAGTAAGTAAGTAAGTAAGTTGTATATATTTCTCGAATAGCACAATTTATAATTGGATCGATTTCATCGTCCAAATGTTATGGTTTAGAGTTTCATTTTATCAGTAGGTTGATACACTATTCACTAGTTTTGCCAAAAATTCACACATATCATAATTACTGATAACATATGAAATGATTCAGTGAAATCTTTTCTGATTGAATTTATACCATAATGTTGCTTTCACGTTTATATGTATGAAGAAGGTGAATTTTCACACTTATCAGACTGTTTATGTTTCTATGAGATTCATGTTTAGTTAGAAATGATTAAACAGAGTTTTTTATTCACTTCCTTCCATAGAATGAATGCATTGTACAAATAATGAATTATATCATAGTAACCATTTTAACTCAAAGAGTTATGTGTCATTGTTCATTATAGTAAATTCTATTCTAATAGTAGATTTGTACGTCAATACAGTCCTACTGTACAGATCTAAAACTTGAAGAACTACTACAACTATTATGAAAAAGGTACATGTATTTAAAAATAGTTGTTTACGCTAGATACTCAATATCCGTTGGTCGGATACCATCTGCAACACGCCATTGTGGGAGAGAACAAACCAGTATCCAGCTGAAGAGGGAATTAGGAAAAGACGTTAGAAGTGGATAGGAAATATGTTGTGGAAATCACCAAACAGCATCACAAGGCAAGCACTAATTTGGAATCCTGAAGGGAAGCGGAAAAGAGGAAGGCCAAAGAACACATTACGTCGGGAAATAGAAACAATTATGAAAAGGATGAATAACAACTGGAAGGAGTTGGAAAGGCTTGCCCATGACAAGGTCAGATAGAAAGTGCTAGTGAGCACCCTCTGCACGTCTACAAAGAGTCACAGCCATAATTATTTAATTACCATATATAAAGTTTAACCGAACAAAGATTTTTACACAATGAAATCAATAAATATTCTTCAGTCATTTATCACATTTGCATCACTTTGATAATCTAGACAATAATAACTGTTCATAAAAATTATAGGCGAAATGGATAGTGGCTAGCAGTGGAATCCAGTTGGACACGCGTTTCGTTCTATTTGGGACTTGTCACCTGGATATACCTGCATCTCAGAGTTGATGTTCATTCTGGGATTCGAACCCATTACCTTAGCTACTATAATGCTTGTAAATTAAGGCGATATCGAAACAATACACACAGTATGCATATATACTAATAACAGACTGATCAGTTGCAGTCTTAAACATCAATAGGATATTTCAAGTAAAACAATACAAAGTGAATTGTTCATAAGAATGTTGCAAACACTTCTGCAATTTACTTACATACTACTGAATTAAAAGTTAACAGTATAACTTCAGTTTAGAGGTTGTGGAGATTGTTAAGTTTTTTTTATTGAAATGATGAACCGATTGATGTTAGACCACTATGGAAAATGTGGAAGCACTGGACGGCCGTTTCGTCCTACTGTGGGACTCGTCAGCAGTGCGCATCCACAATCCTGCTGGCGGGATCTCAATCCATATAGTTTCAATCATATTATGATTAAGCATTACACTTCATTAATTATTCCCTTATCTGATTTGTTAATATAATATTAACTAATGATAAGAATGTATATACCAATACACTTCATTATATCATACATAATTAGTGAAATATATGGATGTACTCAATCCAAGCATAATTGCTATAACATTACAAATATGTCTAACTGACATCTCTACATCAACACATCCACAATACAATTACATTGCATGTGTACAAATGAATAAGATCACATATTAATCTGACTCAACAACAACAACAACAAAATCCTTCACCATGATTTGACAACTTACAATTTCAAAACAAATACATCAAATGTATATGAATTATCATTGAACATACAATGTAACACATACAGTTTATTAATGTGTTACAACAGGTATTTTGCACATTTTTTTTTGTTTTTATACAACTAAACCTTAGAAAACTTGAATCTTAGTTTTGTTTTACAGAAATCAGTTGCTGTCTTCAATTCGATTCGAAATCATCTTGTTGTTGTCAACCAGTATGAATTTGTCACTACCCCAACAATTTTGGACAAAATTATTTATTGTATTAAATAGTTGTTTTGTTGTAAGTAAATCCATCTATTCTCATCACTATGATCATGTTTATTAACCTTTTTAATCAAGATATTTGGTATTGTACTACTTGCATTGGGTATTAAAGGATTAGAAACATTGAATAAATTCGGTACAATTTTAACTGGAATCATACCGCCTATCATTCCAATAGCAATATTTATAGGATGCCTTATTTTAATTGGTACAACGATTGGTTATATTGGATTATGGAAACCGAAGAAATTCATTGTTATACTAGTAAATAACAAATTTATATTGATTATTTATGTAATAGCATATTGCATGTTTATGTCTTGCAGTAATTATTGAGATTGCCATAGCAACAGCAACAGCTACTATGGGAGAAAAAGTTAGTTAATATATTATGAAATGATTTGATTATATTTGTTGTTGTTATTGTTGTTGTTGTTAAATAGTTTCAAACAGCCGCTAATCATTCAGTATTACAAGCTGTGAAACAATTTTATTCAAATCCTTATTGTCAAGTAGAAATGGATAAATTACAAAGAAACGTAAGTTATTTATGAAAATATTTGGTATGATCAAAAAGATTTATAACTCAGGTGGATGATTTTAATGGAGGTTTATTCTTTGAATTGGATGGTTTGGTCATGAAGTTTTTATCATTCTTCTGAGAAATATCAAAGGAATGAACAATGATAGGTTTAAAGGTCAACAACAATCAGTCAACATCAAGTTGTACAGGAGAAGCTGTAAACTATATGTGGAGAAATTCGAACACTTCACTTCTACCTAAAGTTTATGCTGATGATAATGTCATTCAGAAGAAGAACAATGAATGCTGCACGACCAAACTATCGAGTTCAGAGAACAAAACTCTATTATTTGGTTTTAATAATATTACATAAATATATTTACATTTCATTTACTTTTAACAGTATAGATGTTGTGGAGCTACATCATATTTGGATTATGTACAAACAAATAAAACTGTACCATTCTCTTGTTTTATTGGTACATTAGTTTATGCAAGAGTAAGTTATAAATTATTTATGATTAATGATTTATATATCTAAAGTATAATGATGATTTTGATAAAGAATTCATTACTTACTTACTTACTTACGCCTGTTACTCCCAATGGAGCATAGGCCGCTGAAAAGAATTCATTAGAGTTTCATTATTATAGATGTTACTTAATCAACTAATTTAGTCGATATAACAGATTCATATTAGATGAAATGAATGTAAACAGTTTATATTTGTTCATTGTTATCAGAATAGAATGACAATTAGGAAGTGATCTGTACAAATTGTCATTGTTACGTAATACAACTATGTTACTGAGAGCATTATCTCTGAACTCGTGTTCTTCGGTGAACGGTTTGGTTCCATGATACTTCTCATTTTGTATAATGATCTATCCTGTTTTCCGTGATCATTTACATACAGTTCTCAATATTCATTCAAGCTAAATACATTATGTATATTATTATTATTAGTTGCTTTACTCAGTACTATATTTCTGATACAATATAGAATTAACAGTGGTCTAGTGGTTAAGCGCTCGTGCGTGAGACTAATAAGTCGTGGGTTGGAATCCCGCGAGGCGCGGCTGTGGATACACACTGCTGAGGAGTCCCATAATAGGATGAAACGACCGTCCAATGTTTCCAGGTTTTCCATGGTGGTCTACCTTTAATCGACTCATGATGTCAACTATTGAAACAAAGTATTTCAACAAGTTTCCGTTTCTTTCTTCTTGGTCGGTCCTGGCGATAAATATTGAGTGATCGCCAGTTAGATGTTAGCAGTTCAGTAAATGAACATCTGAATAATGTACATTCTTTTCGTTGTATATTGCCAGTAACCACATTGTCTCTTATTGAGTTTTTTGTAACTTTGACAACGAAAGGTTGTACACTTTTCAGAAACGCACCTGAATAGGCTATGCGATATATAGACATAATGATATATTAAAACAAACAAAAATAGATAATTTGTTGAAATATCTAGATGGCAGGAACAGGTAGTCTAGAAGCTCAAGCAGGCCGCCCTTTTGTGACATTAGTTCAAACGGTTACGAACAAGTGATTATATAATGAGTAAACATTGATAGGAATATAATGAGTAGAGCTCAATTGATGCAGCGAAAGAATATTTATCACCAAGGTAAGGAAAGATTAATAAATATCTCCTTTTGAACACATAAATCAAGTTTTTGGAGTCTGATAGTAACGGATTCAGCAAACTTCAAAAGACTGAAGTTTGGCTGTTTACTCATGACGACATGACATTTACTCAATGATCATTCGATTGTGTTGTGTTTACCCAAATATAACTATTGTTCAAGTGTTCATTACCTCAAATAATCGATTCATGTCAAATACAATACAATAAAATACAATACAAGTATCATGACTCAAGTATAGTATTATTATAATGGGATTATAAAGGGATATAATGATTAATGAAAATATATTCATGATCTTAACCATTGAAATTACTACAATCTCCACAAAAACCCATCTGATATTAATCAAAATATGCTCACTAGTGACTGGCTTCAAAAGGTATATTCTGGAGTTCTAGTGAGAAGTAGTGACCAGTGGAGTTCAACCAGGTCTGTTGTGAGGTAGTAACTCACTGAAGACAACGGTGAATGTGTCGCTCAATTTCGTGGATTAGTTGAAGTCAGACATCAACACCGTTGGATGCCGGCTCAGTGGTCTAGTGGTCAAGTGCTCGAGCGCGAAACCAGTAGGTCCTGGGTTCGGATCTCACAGGGGGCGAGGTCGTGGATGCGCACTGCTGAGGAGTCCCACAATAGGACGAAACGGTCGTCCAATGCTCCCAGGTTTTCCATGGTTGTCTAGCTTCAACTGACTCATGATCTTAACCATTGAAATTTCAATTATACAAAAGAAGTTATAATGTATTCAATAGTTAGTCAGTTAGTTTACAATAATCGTCACCATAATGAATGTATACTCATTTATGTAGAGATAATCAGATTAAGAAATGTTATAGAAACTATACACAAATGACATTTGAAATCATTCAAAGATCTTCATCATATTAAAAGATTAATATATTGAATGAAGAATATTCTTTAAGATCAATTCTCTTCAGATTCAACCATTCAATGTATCTAAATTAATGATCCCAAAAATTGGTCATTGTTAAGGATAAAGTGCATTGTTTAAAGTGAAAACATATGAACTGTAGGATGATTGTCAAACAAAATAGAATACAGTTGTTCATGTTGATATGACTTATATGGAATGCTAACTTGAATCTATATATATGTTAAATGAAATTGTTAAGATCCATGATCAAAAATAAATATGGATTAGATAGAATGAGAGAAATAATACGACAAAGTAGAGCCACCGTACATCATTGTCTTCAGTGAATTCCTATCTCAAAACAGACCTGGTTGAACTCCACTGGTAACGACTTCTCACTAGAACTCCAGGAGTATCTCTTGAAGTCAGTCACTAGTGATAATGATAATTCGATCAAATATTTAATGAAAGATTCTGTTGATTTCGGTTTATCAATTAAGTTAAATTAGATAGAAACGACTTTCTATTCATAATGCGGTAACTAAATGCATGACAATCATTTATTGTAAACATTTATTAATATTATAAACGTTTCACAATTCACAGGAATTGCCTGTTATGAGATCTCTCGTATTTCACTCATTAAATATTGAAATCACAAGACTATTATTATCATTATTATTATCACTATTGGTAACAAAACTATTATTGCTTTTATGGTTTAAATTAACAAAACGTAATAATTTGCCTGCCATACCTTTATTATTATTGAGTTGAACACATAAATATTGGTACAAGGAGGCACAAAATAGATATACGCCACATAAATCATTCGATTTGTGTGAGAGCTTGGATATTGCCCGGCTTACTGAACCAAAACAGGTGGTTTTCGTAGAGGGCCCGCACCCAGAGCCTTCAATCTAAAGGTCTGACCCACAAGGCAGTGGAGCAACGTAAGGAGATGCAGTCCCATGGTAATTGGTGGTCAATAATTGGTTCGTATACCATTTGTTCCTCCAGGATCCTGGAGCCCATGTGGAGCATTGGTTTGAAATCAGGGTTTTTCAACTCCCCTAGGTAGATCCTCCATATCCACCAACCGGGTTAAAGCTCTTTTCATCGCTTTTCATTCACTCAATCTCGTAAACAACAGTAATGCCGTGAAAAAGGCAGTGAGTAGAACTTCCCTGGCAGTGGCTGTATACGCATGGCCATGGGAGAGCATTTCGAGAGGGAGAGCTGACTTTCCCCACTCTCGGCCGTACTATGACATTCAGGGGCTAATTCCCATACACAATATCTAACTGATTTATTTCACTGAATGTATACGTAACAGAGCATCTACAAATGACACAACTTGACTCTTTTACAACTTTTAAACCGATGCTAAAGTTTACTACTTTACCACGTAATATTCCTCAACTCACTTAATATTTATTTATGTGTACCTTATTTTGGCCATTGTTATATAATACTATCAAATTATAAAACCTTCAGACCTAACAAGATTATTGAAAACAGTTGTTCGCTCAGATACTCCTAATATTTTAAATACTATATAGAAATTTCTTAACTGTTAAGTTCAAATGAATATCCATAGTTTGATTTTAACACTTCACTTAACTCATCACTCATACATTGAAGACTTGTATATAAACCACATAATATTACTAAGTAATGAAACTTAATAGGAATTAGTATCAGAAGGAGTTTTGTGAAAATTGTAGTAAATTCAATAGTTAAGATCATGAGTCAATTAAAGCTGGACCATCATGAAAAACCTATTGTAGGACTCCCCGGTAGTGCGCACACACGATCCCGCCTAGTGGGATTCAAACTCAGGACATATCAACCTCGCATGCGAACGCTTAACCACTAGACCATCGAGTCACCATTTAACGGTGCTAATGCCTAACTTCGACCAATTGAGCTACATATTCACTATTGTCTTCAGTGAGTTACTGTCTCACAACTGATCCGGTTGAAGTGCACTGGTCACTGCTTCTCACTAGAACTCCAGGATATGCATCTTGAGGAGTCCCACAATAGGACGAAACGGCCGTTCAATGCTCTCAGATTTTCCATGGTGATCTAGTTTCAACTGACTCATGATTTCAATCTGTGAAATTTCCAAAATCTCTACAAACCCCTTCTGATAATTAGTCCCTTTGGTAAATTTAGATAATGCAATTAGAAGACGCAATACATTTCGAATAATTTGAACACATATAATGTACTTGTTAAGACATTTTTATATGAAAATTAAAAGGTCAACTAGTCAGGTAAGCCGTAACGAAGAAAAAAATAATAAAGTACACAAAAATAATGTGATGACCACTCTGGATAATAAATTAGTATTACCAGGGGAGGTGTTAAGGTTAAGAACAAATTGTTTTTGAATGCATAAAGGGGATTTCAGTTACCGTATAGTGAAGGCTTCAATGAACCCTAATATACGTCCTTGAAGGCTTTTGTACAATACTACAAAAGATGATTTGATGTTATCCATATGACCAGTCTCAATCAAATGTTTCTCAATAGAGGATGATGATCTTATTTGACCATTGGAATCCATTTGTTTTTGTAGCCACTTCGGTATGTGTTCACTCACCCTTAATTGCAAATCACGATTGCTCCTCCCTATGTACATGTTACCACACATACATGTAAACTGATAGACATGCTTATGTGCTGTTTGGTCTTTTATTGAAACATAGACTATTTCTTTCTATTACTAATGACACAGTTAGGCTGTATAAAATGTTCGGTTGTTAGCTCATTTACATCTCCGTTTCAACATGAGACTATTTGTGTCATGTTTAAACGGTAACATAATATAAACTTGCTTGGTAAGAATTTTATCAGTTTAGAACTGTGAATATCCCAAAGGCGGCCTGCTTGAGCATCTAGGCTACCTGTTCCTGCCATCTAGATATTTCAATAAGTTATCTATTTTTGTTTGTTTTAATATATCATTATGTTTATATAACGCATAACCTATTCAAGTGCATTCCTGAAAAGTGTACAACCTTTCGTTGTCAAAGTTACAAAAAACTCAATAAGAGACAATGTGGTTGCTGGCAATGTACAACGAAAAGAATGTACATTATTCAGATGTTCATTTACTGAACTGCTAACATCTAACTGGCGATCACTCGTTATTTATCGTCAGGACCGACCAAGAAGAAAGAAACGGAAACTTGTTGAAATACTTTACGCTGAGAATTCTATATTGTACCAAAACTATAATATTGAATAAAGCTGATAATAATAATAATAATAATAATAATAACGTTACAATATTGATTTACAATTATATAATTCATCACTTTCATTTTTCTCACTTTCTTTTTTCTTTTTCTTTTTTTTTGTTTTTTTGTGTGTAATATTATCAGGGTTGTGTAGAAGCATTCAGTGATTATGCCCAACATTATATCGTTGCATTAATTACTATGTGCTTTGTATTTGGTATTATTAAAGCTATTTATGTGATTATCTCTATTTGTTTATTTAAAAAATCATTGACTGCAAAAAATGCATCACCATAAATCTTACTACTTATTTACTTATTTACGCCTATTACTCCCAATGGAGTAGAATCATGAAGATGGTAAACTCCAATTGTTTTCTTCTCTTTTCTTTCTATTCCTTTTAAAATTGTTTACTTAATACAACAACAATCATAAACAATCATGTCATCAATACAAATTGGATCATTATTGATTAAAGTAAAGTCATATATCACATTTGACAATCTGTATTGCATGGATACTGTTGTTGATTATTTTTGGGCCATTATTATTATTATTATCATTTTTATTATTATGTAATCAACAGATTTAATGATAAGAATAAAACAAATATTGTTCTTTTTTTTGGTTACTTGTTTCTATTACATAATATGTAAACAACTGTATACTTAAATGAATTGCTCAAAGAATATGAATCTTGAATAGTAGGAATATCAACATAACACTTCACTTAACGCAGAGTGAACATCCACTCTCTGAGATGCAGGTATATTCAGCTGACGAGTCCTAAATAGGACGAAACGCGAGTCAAACTGGATTCCACTGCTAGCCACTATCCATCAAATAGCTTACAAATAGTTTGTGAATTAAGGTAATATCGAGGCATACGCACAGTATGCACATATGCCAATAACAGACTGATCAATTGCAGTCTTAAATCTCAATGGGAGGATACAAGCCAAACAATATCATGTGAATATCAACATATTGTTTATTATTCAGTTGGTATTGTTGTTTATTTGAATCTTCTTATTGATGTTATAAGACTGTAATTGATCAGTCATTTATTAGTATATATGGATATTATGTGTATTGACTGGATATTGTCATAATTCACAAACATTCTAGGTGAGACTATAATATATGGACGACATTTGAGTGACGCTGAAATGAATCTGACGATGGACACTTACTGATTAGGACTAAATGAGGGTTATAAAACAGTTAGAAATTTTATTTACAATTGATAGTTAGGGTTTTCATCACGAAATGACATCAGCTATAATGTCAAAACTCTATTTAGCCAAATGTATGGATGAATTTCGCGCCGAAATTCGTGACTCGCTATCTTATATCTGATTGGTTCGTCTATAAATTATAGTCTCGCCGCATTCTAAGAAAAGATGGATAGTGGCTAGCAGTGGAATTCAGGATGTGCGTCTCATCCTATTTAGGACTGGTCAGCTGGATGTACCTGCATCTCAGAGTTGATGTTCACTTCAAAATTAGAACCCGGCACCGTTTGCTCTAAACGCCATCGCGTTATCCACTTGGCTAGTGAACTCTGATAGCCATTTGCTTGTTCAAAGGGGTGAAGTTTGAATTTACTTGATATTGTTTACTTGAATCTTCCCATTGATATTTAGGACTGTAATTGATCAATCTCTTATTTGCATATGTGCATACTGCGTACATTGACTCGATATTGTCTTAATTCACAAGCATTGTAAGAAAAGATGGATAATGGCTAGCAGTGGAATTCAGAGCTCACGTTTTGTCCTATTTGGGGCTCGTCATTTGGATGTGTCTGCTTCTCAGTAGCTAAGTGGATAACACGACGAAGTTTGAAAAGGATGGTACTGGGTTTGAGTCCCACAGTGAACATCAACACTGAGATGCAGGTACATCCAGTTAATCAGTGCCAAATAAGACGAAACGCCCATCCTGGATTCCACTGCTAGCCACTGTCCATCTTTGCACACTACTTAACACATTTTTCATTGTTATGCCATACTTCAATTAATTATACGAATATAAATCTTTGTAGGTAAATGTTCACACATTTTCTTTCAAATAGAATTAAAATTAACCGATTCCTATTAACCAGTAAGGATAAGTCACTGTAGTGTGAGAGAACAGGTGAAAAGAGAAAACATTCGAGACAAAAAAACAAACAACAATTACATAGCTATGAACAATAACCAACCAAATTCCAGGCTAACCGAATAATCTATCATTAAGGTGACAGAGGTGTAGTGAACAAGAACACAAGTCGTGACAATCATACCAACTGAGTTACGTTTCTGTTCTTTCCTTATTGATCTTCTACTGAAATACATCCTATACCTGATCACCATTTTATACTACTTATGTGGATATAAGTAACCCACGCCACAGAGGTACCACCAGAATATTTAATTTAGTATTCACTTGATTACAGTTTTATTTGTTATGACTTTCCAATATTGTGTGAATATTATCTTCTGTTATCTGTGACATCAGTCTAACACTCTACATGATAAAACAAAATAGCTTTCCACTAATCCATAGTTCCTAAGTGTAATATAAGTATGACCAACTTTCCTAACTATTCACTAAATGATTGATGTATGTTGAATTTTGATCGAATTTTATATTCCATGTTAATACAGAAACTGTCAGTTCCATGCCTCGATAAAGGAGAAAGTTAGAAATAGGGTCGACAAACCCATCCTTGTAGAAAACAATCTCGGAAAAAAAAACAGAAATGCTAACCAGACTAAACAAATTCAACCATTTATATTCTATCCTCTGAGTTGAGAGAAGAATTATGATGCCTCATGGTGAAAGCCAAGATAATTAGAAATGACCTGAAGGACAAATGTATATCATTTTCTAGGAAATAGATCCATTTTCTAAGGGATAGATATATATATACACACATGAGTATTTATGCATATTGTTTGGTAGCCCAGTAGACTTTTTCTTCCACTCTCGTCGTCTTGCTCAAACAATCAGTTTGGGTGGTGAGCACATAGCACTTTAGGCATCAGTATTAGGTTTCAGACACCGCGCAGCATAACAATTTTCAATACGAACGTCAAGATGAAGCTGAAACTTGGAGAACTACCACAATCATCATCAAACATGTATAACTATTTATGAACAATTCTTTACGCAAAATACTCAATATTCATTGACTAGATACAATCAACAATAACCCACTATACCACAGAACAAACGAACTTACAACTAAACAGGAAATCGAGAAAAAGCATTGGAGGTGGATAGAACATACATTGAAGAAATCATCAAACTGGAGCACTAGATAATCGTTAACTTGGAAATCTAAAGGCCAGAAGAAAAGAGATAAATCGAAGAATAGAATGAGTTGAGAATTGAAGGCAGGTGTCAAAAGAATGAATTGTGTTTGAGAACAGCTATAAAAGAGAATGGAAGACATAGTTGGTTGGAGAATTGTGGTGGTCGACTTATGTTTCTCCACGAGTGGTAACAAGAGTAAATAAGTAAGTAGGTGAATACACACTTCAGTAATTTTTCGTTACAATTACTTTAATTAATATAAAACAGAGCTATTGAAAAACTCAAGTACACAAAATAAATATTTGATATCGATTACAATATTATTATGTCTAAAACACCTTCTTTCCATTTCATACTCTACCTAAACATGAATACATGTAGCATTACATCACTATCTAAAAAAATCACATTTAAATGGGTGTGTGTTTATGTAACGTTTCTCAGTCCTGTTTGGGTTTTTCTCAACAATCAATCATCATTAATATCAATTTTGAAATAATAACACGTATAAGTGCTACATAAAAGGCAGAAACCAATATTTCTTACGTCTACAATAAACTACAATCGTACATGGTAAGCACATATTTGATGATGATGATGCTTTGGATGACGATGATACTTTGGATGATGATGCTTTGGATGACGATGATGATGATGCTTTGGATGAAGATGATGATGATGCTTTGGATGATGATGATGATGATGCTTTGGATGACGATGATGATGATGCTTTGGATGACGATGATGATGATGCTTTGGATGATGATGATGATGATGATGATGATGATGATGATGATGATGATGATGGTTTGGATGATGATGATGATGATGATGATGATGATGATGATGATGATGATGATGATGATGATGATGATGATGATGATGATGATGATGATGATGATGATGATGATGATGATGATATGATGATGATGATGATGATGATGATGATGATGATGATGATGAGATGATGATGATGATGATGATGATGATGATGATGATGATGATGATGATGATGATGATGATGATGATGATGATGATGATGATGATGATGATGATGATGATGATGATGATGATGATGATGATGATGATGATGATGATGATGATGATGATGATGATGATGATGATGATGATGATGAGATGATGATGATGATGATGATGATGATGATGATGATGATGATGATGATGATGATGATGATGATGATGATGATGATGATGATGATGATGATGATGATGATGATGATGATGATGATGATGATGATGATGATGATGATGATGATGATGATGATGATGATGATGATGATGATGATGATGATGATGATGATGATGATGATGATGATGATGATGATGATGATGATGATGATGATGATGATGATGATGATGATGATGATGATGATGATGATGATGATGATGATGATGATGATGGTGATTATGATGCTTTGAATGATGATGATGCTTTGGATGACGATGATGATGATGCTTTGGATGATGATGATGATATTACTGATTTCATTAGAAGTCATATATATATATATATAAATTGTATTATACACTAACTGACGACATATTTGATCGATGTAAAAATAAATTTTTATACAATTTCTCAACAGTATGGGTAAATTGATTATCGAAGATGTTATGTCCATCAGTGCAATAATCTATTTGATTGACATTTTGATTCATTGCGACCATGTTTTACATTAAAACTTCATTTTATAATAACCCAGTGATTAAATTTCTTTTCTTTTTCTTTTTCCTTCTTTTTTTTTAGAATTAAGAAAATGATGTGCGTTTCATTATCAAGAGAATTTTGGCAGAAAATATTTATTACATTAAATACTTTATTTGTTGTAAGTAGTATAATTCTATTCATTAAAAAAAACAAAAACAATAAAAGATATTTAACATTATACTACTTATATTAGGTATAATAACACAAAATACTTTATCAAAATATACAACCATTTTAAATACACCAATATCAGCTATCATTCCAACTATTCTATTTACTGGATGTTTCGGTTTTATAGCTGCATTAATTGGATATATTGGATTATGGAAACCAATGAATTTAATTGCTTTAATGGTATGTCTTATTCAAGGATTCTTTTCTTTTTGGTATTAAATTTTCCTAAGTAATTAGTTCCCTTTAAAAAATTTTCCATGGAAGAATGAGAAGAGGGAGTTGATCTGAATAAATATGATGTCGGAATAGGGGTTATGAAGATTATTAATTTGTTGATTGAGATCATGAATCGATCGATGTTAAACCATCGTTGGAAACGTGGAAGCATTGGATGGCCGTTTCGTCCTCAATCAAAAACCTAATAACCTCCACAACCCTATACTGATAATTAACATGTGCTCACTAGTGACTAGCTTCTTGAGGAAATTCTCGGAGTACTAGTGAGAAGCCGTGACCAGTGGAGCTAATCAGTGTAGGGTAGAAACAGGTGTCTAACTCAGTGAAACGGAAGATGGTCGCGCAATTTCGTGGACTGGTTGATTTTGGACACTAACACCATTGGATGCCGGCTCAGTGGTCCAGTTGGTTAAGCGTTCGCGCGCGAGACCGAGGGCCGTGAATCCCGCTCGCGGGATCGTGGATGCGCACTACTGAGGAGTCCCACAATAGGACGAAACGGCCGTCCAGTGCTTCCAGGTTTCTAACGGTGGTCTAACATCAATCAGTTCATGATCTCAATCAAAAACTGTAATGTATTTACGCTATACATTTCGAATAATCTGGCCACACATATACTTACCAGATCATTTTATATGAAAGTTAATAATGGTCAATTATATGAAAGGTGACAAAGTGGAAAGTAACATTTTTTTTCTTATATCGTATAGAAAGAATAAGAAATTATCGCATTATCCAAGGTCATAGAATAACTTAAGGGTTACTTAGGTAAATTCAAGATTACGACAAATTGTTTTTGTACACATAAGGAAAGAGGAGGGGTGAGGTTAAATTTACAAATAATCAAAGCTTCAATAAACTTAACCATTCATTCTTGACAATTTCTATACAACGTTTTAAAAGATGTATTCATGTCAAGTTAAATTGTTTCTCTTTCTTTTTCTTTTCTTTTTCTTTTATTTAGCATATTATCAGTTTGTGTATTGTTACACTCATTGAAATTGGTATAGCAACAACATCAGCTGTAATGTATGATCAAGTTCGTTTCATTATAAATTCAAATATAATATATATATATATTCTTTCATTTCTATAGTTCTATACAACTACACATAGTGCATTATTAGATAGTGTGAAATTCTATTATGAAAACTCACAATATGAAATGGAAATGGATCATTTACAAACTGAAGTAATGATACATTTCATCATTTTTATTATTATTGTTTACATGATTGAAATATTGATTTGTTTGGATATGATATTCATGTTGATCATGTTTTCTTTCTCTTCTTCTTTTTCTTACGTTTGTTGTTGTTGTTGATAGTTTAAATGTTGTGGAGCTGAATCTTATTTGGATTATAGAAAATTGGGTATGAATATACCATTCTCTTGTATCATTGGTTATTTAGTTTATGCAAGAGTAAGTCAATCTATGAATTATTTCTTAATAAATTAAACTGATAATATGTTATACAATTTCATAGGATTCTAAGATCTTTCTTAAACTGATGAATTTCGTGGATTAGTTAAAGTTAGACATTAACACCGTTGAATGCCAGTTCAGTGGTCTAGTGTTTAAGTACTCGCCCGTGAGACTGATAAGTCCTGGATGGGAATCCCATGAGGCAGGGATGTAAAGTCACACAATAGGACGAAACGGTACTTCCAGGTTTCCCATGATGGTCTAGCTTTAATTGATTCATGATCTCAACTATTGGAATCAAATTCACATGGTATTGTTTTACTTGAATCTTTTCATTGATATTTAAGACTACAATCGACCAGTATCTTATTGGCATATGTGCATACTGTGCGTATTGACTTAATTCACAAGTATTATAAACAAAGATAGATGGTGGTTAACAGTATAATCCAGGATGCGCGTTTTGTCCTGTCTGAGGCTCGTCAGCTGGATGTAGCTGTATCTCTGAGTTGTTGTTCACCCTGGGACTCGAACCCAGTATCGTTCACTTTAAACGTCATCACGTTATACACTTAGCTACTGAGTCCTGATAGCTACGTGCTTGTGCGATGGGGTGAAGTTTTAATACAATTCGTATTGTTTGATTGAAAGTTGGCGTTTGAATAGAACGAGTTGAGACTATAATTTATGGACGACCTTTCAGCGATGCCAAAGTGATCTTGAGAATGAGGGTTATAAACCAGTGTGACAAATTAAAATAATGATTTACAATTGATAGTTATGGTTAGGAATTAAATTTATGGTTTTTATCACGACCTGACATCAGTTAAAATGTCGAAACATTGTTTAGCCAAATGGATGGATGTATTTCATGCTGAAACCTCAGACCTGTTATCTTATATCTAAAGTAATTAGTCCCATTTAAAAATTTCGATAGAACAATGAGAAGATGGAGTTGATCTGAAAAATGTAATGTATTTGCGTTATTGTTCGAAATGTAACGCACCAATACATCACATTTTTCAGACCAACTCCATCTTCTCATTGTTCTATCGATATCTTATGTTTGATTGATTCGTCCATAAATGATAGTCTCATTGTAATTAATAGTTATGTAATGTAATAAGTGGTAGAATTGAAAAACTAGGATATAATGAAATAACCTTTATGTTATAAGGCCATAAGAAACCCTAACAGCCAGTTCAAGTTGAAAATACAAATACACTTTCAGACATTTGATAGATACGTTTTCTGTCAATTGAAAAACATCATAGACTTGAATGATTTCATGAAATCTTCTTGACTAGTTGACTTCTTTTTTTGTTTATATGTTTAAATATACTGGTGATTACATTTTGAGAGGTCACCTTGTGTAATATGTTTATTACATCTAAGTTGAAGGACTTCCTTCTATTCATCCAATGTAATGTTTTTTGGCTGATACTCATATAATAATCAATACAGTTAATCAGTCAGTCAGTCAGTAACACCGTAGAACTTCGTCCGTACGTACATCAGTTCGAGTTGCCATACCACATTAGCACAGAGATGCAGTTGTCGATTCAAATCCCGTAGTGGTAGAGATAGTAAAATTATAAGCAGTAATTGGAAACATTAGGGTTTGAAGATGTTATTCAAGGAGTATAACCCAGTGAAATAAATTTGGAAAGAAAATAAGGGACATGAAGAATTCAGAAGATTAGAATTTGGGAGAGAACAAAGAGTGTATGCACGTGAGCCTTTGCAAACTATTCTGAGCCATGTCATTCAGGGTCTCTAACCATCGGTTGCTATCATCTCGTGGTCCCCAACCAGGTAATCTACACCTACTAACATGGCTCACTCAGTCCACTTGTCAGTGACTTCATGGACTTGTGCCATGTTTCGGTCTGGCCACCCCTAGCTTTCTTTCAGCCTACTCCTACACCATGAAACATCGCACGTCGAGACAGTCAGTGGTTGGGCATACGTAACACATGTCCCAGCCATCTCAACTGATGAAGTTTCACTACCTCAACAATTGATTTGCCATCCTTAACTAGTACGCGTTCTCTTACAACTACACTAATCACTCGATGGTCCCAGGATATCCGAGCAATGTTTCGAAGACACCTGTGATCAAATACTAGTAACGTACGAATATCCTCTACTCTTACCGGCTATATTTCACTGCCATAAAGTAGGACGGGACGAACCGCTGCACAGTAAACACGTCCTTTAGTTGATAGACGGATATCTCGCCCACGCCATAAATGACACAAGTTGGCAAAAGCTAGTCGAGCCTTCTGTATCCGTGGTAAAATGTGAAGTGTATATGTAAATGTTTGATTAAGTGGATAATCATATTTTATACAAAATGATCAAATTAAATTCAGGCTAGATGTTTATCTTATTGTTATTTAGATAATTTATAAAGTTATAAATTCACTCCGTACTGGGTTCGAGTCCCAGAGTGAATATCAACTCTGAGATGTAGGTACATCTGGCTGACAAGTCTCAAATAGAACGGAACGTGCTTCATGGATTCCACTACTAGACACTATCCATCTTTGTTTATAATTTTTCAAAGTTGTCTACAATTATTCAACACACTATACTGTAAAATGTAATGTTTGTTATTCTTAGTCTGTTTGTCATAAAATTACTAACTAACATTCCACTATAGACTTGCTTAATCATGAATGAACGTTAATGAAATGAATTCAGATTACTCTTAGTTGATCAAATAAAGTATAGCTTAATTGTTATTAACATTTTCCATTGAGTCTGACCGACACACTGAGTCACTATTGCATCAAGAACATCACTTATCAAGTTCAGATTTGAATATATTCAGTTTGTTGTTTAGTATAGGATCGTTTGTGAAGATTATAAGACTTTATAGTTTAAAGTAAAACTTGATCTTAGAAGTTCCACACTACAATAAAATAGCTAACCAGTAATTCCTTAGTTTCCAATCATATTCTAGTTAATATTTAAATGAAGAGTATCTTATTTTGTGCTCTTTTTTTCCAACCTGTTACTTAAAACAGAAATGTAATTTTGAGATAGTGGAGATTTGTAGGTCAGATGGATGATTTTGATGGAGTTTTTTTTCTCTGAACTGGATGATTTGGTTGTAGAACTTTCATAGTTTTTCTGAACGATACCATCAACATGTGGACAACTGCGGAAATTTTGGATAGAAGCAACTTCAAAAACACACCAGGGAATTTTTAGAAGCTTGACACTCAGGTCAATCAACAAGCATATTGAAATCGATTCAGTTTATTAACCATAAGGAAAATTCTGGACAAATATAAGAACAAAAATCAAACTAATGAAAGACACAACCAAAACAAAGAAGTAAACAATGATAGGTTTAAGATCAACGAGAACCAATCAACATCGAAGTATAGAGGACAAGCTGCCAAACTTATGTGAAGAAATTCGAATGGTTCACTTGTACCTGAATTTTGTACTAATGATGTCGGTCCACAACCAAACCATCTAGCTCAGCGAACAAAACTCCATCAGAATTGTTCATCTATTTATTTCCCATAAACATTGGTACAAGGAGGCACCAAATAGATATACGCCACATAACTCATTCGATTTGTGTGAGAGCTTGGATATTGCCTGGGTTCCCAAACCGAAGCAGGTGGTTTTCGTAGGGGGGCCACACGCAAAGCCTTTAATCTAAAGGTCTGACTCATAAGGCAGTGGAGCAACGTAAGGAGATGCAGTCTCATGGTAACCAGTGGCTAATAATTGGTTCATATGTCATTTGTTCCTCCAGGATCTTGGAACCCATGTAGAGCATTGATTTGGAATCAGGGTTTTCCAACTCCTCTAGGTGAACTCTCCATGTTAAAGTGTCAGACATTCATTTTTCATTTTCTGAGTTTCGTAAACACCTACCCCCACCACGAGAAGGTCATGAATAGGACTTTCATGTCAGTAATTGTATACACGTGTCCATGTGAAAGCATTCGAGAGAGAGAGAGAGAGAGAGAACTCTCTCCACTCTCATCCGTACCAGAACATTTATAGGTATCCGTTTTATAATCCCTAATCATATTTTCTTTATGACATAATTTATCTAAACTTTTGATTGATCTCATGTATTTCTTTTCTTTTTCTTTTTCTTTTTCTTCTTTTTATAAAAAAAACAACCAACTTTTACTTAACAGGGTTGTGTTCATATATTAACTGATTATATACAACAATATACAATTGTATTCATTTCATTATGTTTTATATTTTCAATTATACAAGGGGTTTATTTAATTATTTCCATTTTAATGCTTAATAGATCTATGGATACAAAAAATTTATGTACATAATTATATTTATTTTTTTTTATATTTTTTTTTCCAAAAAAAATAATCAATAAATCAATAAAATAAAATAAATAAACATGATTTTGTTGATCAAAAGGATATTTCATGGTTACTATGATCAATTTATTGATTGATTTATGTAATTCATTGATTTGAATGATTTATTGATTATTCATTGATTGATTGATTAATTCATTTTATTAAAGATTATAATACATTGAATGTTGTTGTTGTTGTTGTTGCTAATTTGTTGTTGTCCTTACTGTTTTCTATGTTATGAATAAATAATTGTTTAAATTAATTGTATGAATCTTATTAATTGTGAATAATAACTTTCATTTTATATGAACTGATATGATCAGTGTGGGTAACAAACCAACGACTGTTGTTCCTATCATGATGTGATGGTTGAGTTGATGAAACAAATTGAGCTATACTGACTAGAACAATCGTTTCTCAAGATCCTACCTCAGCCCTAATGGGTTGGTATCTGATGAAATCTCAGCACGGATTCGAAAAGCTCGTTTGGCTTTTGTCAACTTACGTCTATCAATTAAAGGACGAGTATACTATGCAGCAGTCCGTTCTGTTTTAATTTACGACAGCGAAACATGGCCATTAAGAGTAGAAGATATTCGTAAGCTACTAATATTTATTCACAGATGTTTTAGAAATATTGCTGGCTTCTGCTGGGATCACCGGGTAAGTAATAGTGAGGTCAAACACAGGGTTTTAGGGAATGATGGTAAATCAGTTGATGAGATTGTGAATTTTCATCGACTAAGATGTTTGGGCCACGTGTTACGTTTACCTGAACACCGATTACCACGACTTGCGATGCTAACGGGTATTGGGGATGGCTGGAAGAAAGTAAGGGGTGGTCAAACCAAAACCTGGCATCAGTCCACACAGTCACTAACTTCTGGTCTGAGCTATGTTGTTAGATGGAGACTAATTGGTTGTGGTCCGCGTAACTGTTGTAACCAATGGTTGCAGACTGTGGATGACATGGCTCAGAATCGATCACAATGGAGTAGGTGTGTATACTTTCTGTCTTCCCTCAAACTATTATATTAAAATTGCTTCATATCTTTCTTTTTACAAACTAATTCTTTCTTCCTGTACTATGTCCATATATGCAATCTTTCTTTTATATATCACCACTATTGAATTAACTACTTTTATGAATCCGGTTTCCATCTTGTTGTGCTAATGCTGTAAGGCAACTTGGACTGATGCATATATATGCCTGGTCCCACGTTGTAGTTGACAGACAAGATCCTACCATACTAGACAGGTCAGTTTAAAAGCGGTAAGACTAAAAGCAGTAAACTCAAGATCTGAAGGCGAAGTCATACTGTTGACTGTACAGAGGTGTGACGGTAGTAAGGTGTTTTATTCAAACAATCAGCATGACAGTGATGCTACCTTTCCACAAGGAGAGATGGGGTTAGAAAAGGTTGACCCTCGCCTTATCCCAAGGATTTCTGTCTCTGGTGGTAAGGTCTCAACAAGTACGGAGCTAACACGAATATTACTCACAAACAGGTCATGTGTGATCAGCCTAAATTTGTTGTCCCTTGGGCAATGCAGTTACTCACTCAGCTCACTAAGACCACCCCTAACCCAATTTTATTTTCAGGTACCTCTGGAAGAACCTTTCCATGGTGTAAGCAACCGGAAAGTGATAACTGCCCTCATACCTCTAACAGCATTCAAAATCACTGATTCAGAGTTTTTCTACAGCGATTTAGAAGACATTATGATTAATAAATAACAAGTCAGTCTAATCAAGTTGATTGGACTTGATAGATGTATTTCGTTTAACATGTTTTGACATACATGAATGGCGAATGTTCAAATACTTGCATACAATACACTGCTAAGGGTTCTCTGTATTTTAACGATCCTGTAGAAAACTAATAAGTTAAGCGTGTTGAGTGCAAGCCAGTTACCTACTGAAGACAATGAAAGATGGTCTTGAAATATTGTGGATTGTTTGAAGTTAAACATTAACACCGTTGGATGTCGACTCAACGGTCTAGATGCTAAGTGTTTGCGTGTGAGATTGAAGATCTTGGATTCGATTTTTACATACGGTGTCGTGAATGCACATTGGTGAGAAATCCTATACTAGGATGAAACGGCTATCCAGTGTTTTCAGGTTTTTACTGGTGGTCTAACACTGGTCTATCTCCACAAACCACATATTGAAAATTTAATTCCATTAAAAATTGTTCTACATCTACATTGTTATGCGTATTTTGTTGATATGGGTGATATTTTAGGAACCAGTTGCCATAATTAATATATAAATATCATAATAAATAGATTATAACACGTAATACTTACAATTTATTCAGGTATCCAAGACTAATACATCAATAATGGACTAAATGTGTCAGTGATAATAGCTCCGTTTGTGATAATATATATAGTTTTTGATAGATGAAATTGATTTCCTTGTGTTTATTTCAGTAACTCGAAAGTTATCTTTCGACTAATGTATATCTCAATGGTCTAGATCATGAGTCAATTGAAGCTAGATCACCATGGAAAACCTGGAAGCACCGGACGGTCGGTTCGTCCCAGTATGGGACTCCTCAATAGTGTGCATCCACGATCCCGCACCCCGCGGGGTTCGAACCTAGGACCTATCAGTTTCGCGAAATTCGCTTAATCAACTAGACCGCTGAGCTGGCATCCAATGGTGCTAATGTCTAACCTCAACTAATCCACGAAATTGTGCGACCATCTTCCATTGTACTGAGATAGACAACTGTTTCTACCCGACGCGGACTAGCTCCACTGGTCATGGCTTCTCACTAGAACTCTGAGAATTTTCTCACGAAGCTAGTCACTAGTTAGCACATGTTAATTATCAGTTTAGGTGTTGTGAAGATTGTTAAGTTCAATCAAAAACTTAACAATCTCCACAACACCTAAACTGAAAACATAATGTAAAGTGATTTATCAACAAAATTCTGCTGTCATTTAACACTTAGACTCTATAAATACCCATACTTATGATAAGTAGTTTATACTTGATAAATAATTGTTCATTTCTTCATCTTTATTATATTTAATACATGAATTGCATAATACAAAGTAATGTAAACAATTCATAGAAGTAAACGAATCATTAGAGGGGGATATGTGGACTTAATTGCATTTCATAGTTTACATCACGAACTAACTTTAGTTAGATAATAGTTTAAAGCTAGAAAGTACTAGTTAGTTGTTTCATGATTCCTCATAAGTAAAGATTCACGACTCTATTGAGGATTAAGCTTAAAATATTTGAAGTTCGGTATGAGCTTCTTAGATTTAGATTATTGTGTCGTTATCCAATGATTGACATTTCTAACTTCAACCACTTTGAGATATTATGTAATTAATTACTTTCCATTATTATCTGTGAATAACTGCCTCTCACCTAATATCATCATGACTTTTCACAAGAACCTTTGAAATAACATTTCGAGATTAGATATCAGTGAGTACATGATTGTTATTACTACATAGGGTTTATAGAAAATTTTGAATTTTATACCATAAGTCATGAGCTAACTTGAGCTATGCAATCATTGGAAATCAGAAATTACAGTTTGACTTTTTCGTATTGTAATAAGATATCTTAGAAATGAACAATGATGACCCCAACACAGATTGAATAATCCAGAAAATGAAATAAATTAGATGTTATTGGCGATTAATTGATGTAAGATTTACAGTTTTAGTGGTGGTAAGTTTCAACCTGTATATGTCTGTAGTACAAATCATAACTATGACACTTCTATGTTGTAGGCGACTGGGAAGTGATAACCGCCCTCATACTTCCAACAGCACTCAAGACCAAAATAATAATATAAAGTGTTCTCATTTGTGTACTTTTGAATATCATTTACTTGTTTGTTTGTTATAGAACTAAATGATTACTGACTTTCTACTCTGTCTTACTAAGTACAATTAATGCCTTTTTTTGTCTAAACCATAGTGCTAATCAAATTCTATCGAACATATTTCTAGTTTCTCACGTTTAATAGACTTGCTGATTAATACCAAACAGAATCATAAATTTCTATCGACTACCTCCAACCCTCAAGTTCAACTATTACTGTGAGTACAGGAAATACTTACTAACTTATACCTATTACCCTCATGGAGGAGCATAAGCCGCTCACCAACTCTGTCCCGAACAATCCTTTCCAGTTGTTTTCAGTTGCTATTCATTCTTTTGATATATGCTTCCAATTCTCGACACAGTGTGTTTTTTGGTCTTCCTCATTTCTATTTCCCATTAAGGTTCAAAGCTAGCGCTTGCTTCATGATACACTTTGGTGATTTCTTCAAAGTATGTCCTATCCGCCTTCATCGTCTTTTCTGAATTTCCTGTTCATCTCAAAGCTAGTTTGTTCTCTCGTACAGTAAGGCTATTGTTGATAGTATCCAATCGATGGATATTAAGTAATTGTATATAGATACTTATACCTCTTTCATAATGATTGTAGAAATTCTTCATGTTTCAGATTCATACAATAAAACTGTTTTGACATTTGTATTAACTTCATTCAATGGTACAGTACTTGATTCACCAAAATATTCTGTAAAGTATTAAATTGAATATTTGATTCAATTTACTATCTGTTGTGACTTGTGGCTAGTGTGCCTTGTTAATGTTTAACGTAACGATACCATCAATTAGGAAACAGTGAATTATCGATCGGACCTATGACGCCTAAAACCCGTATGAGCAGTCTAGCGTCTCTATCGGTCCTTCTTCTAGACTAGCTCAAAGTGTTAATCCCAGAACACCAATCTCAGCCTCCGAGATATGAATCATTATATTTCAAATATACTGGGTTTATATACAAACCAAACAGACCACATCGTACCATAAAATGGGAAACAACATTTGCCCAAGAATTAGTCAAATGTGGCTGTGAATGAGG